GCTAATTTTCTTCAAAACTCTCCTAAGAAAAGTAACATTTTTTTCTGCTCTGAGTCAACCAAAACTGTACATACTACTCACAGTGAAGTGCCATAAGCGTTGTATTAGAAAGAATTATTGTGCTTCTTCACTGGTACCAACCTTCCAACTATACAGCCAAAATCAGAGCCGTATCTAACCCCCAAAGAACAGACGAATGTGTCTACAGATTAACATTTTTTCTTTACTATATTTTGTAGAGTAGTAAGTAACAGTGGTGATTACATCAAGAAAATAATTATTTATATTCCAGTGCGAGTAGTATTATTTCTTCCTGTTTATGTATTTCCCATTTGGTAATTTCTTCATTTATTTTGCTTTCTTCAGGAATATTAATATGTTTGTATTTTTTGCCAAGTATCATGTTAATGCCAATACTTCTGGCTTTCATAAATCAGTTATCTCACTCTCTTTTTTCTCTAACGTTTACAAAATTCTCCATTTACTCCACTTGCTGTTTTTTCCCAGGTGCTTAATACTGATACTAAATAAAACAAGATCTTACACTGATATGTTGGACAATGCATTACAACTCATTTTGTGTCATTTATATTTATCCTGTGTGTATGTTCCTGAGCAAGATTTCAAGCCTGTTGTTAACATCTCTAATCAAGAAATGTGATTCTTCTTAAGGGACAAATTTTTGTATCAAAAGTGACATTAATTTCAGGTATTGGTTATCTCCCTGAAATACAAAATAATTTTCCTCACTATGCAGCTTCAATGTAAATACTAATTGATTGCAGTTTGAATGATAATTTGCTTATTATATTGCATTGCCTCAGTTTGGGATTTTCACTGTGCTTAACCACAAATAGTTTCAGTGTGTGCAGACTGTCAGCAAATTTTGTTGTACATTGCATTAGCACCACTCCAATCATCTATTAATTTTGTCATTTTCATCTTACAAGAAGCTATTGTTTTTGTCAGGCATTAATTTTTATTTGGAAATGCATACTTCTTATTGATTGATGCTTCATTTTCACCTCTTGTTCAAGAGTTTCACGAACAGGTATCTTCTGTGAAATCTGAGATCACACATGAAACCTTTTAAATCAATGAACAGTTTTTCTGTTGTCACTGACTTCAGCAGTTATTGCACTTAAAATACATGAATTAGGTCATTTTCTGTTATACTAACCAGCAATTTATCTAGGACATTTTTTTACAAAATCTCAAAAAAGTATGTCGTCTAGAAAGACTTCACAATAACTCTTTTCTCTTCCCTCTGTAATTATTTTTCTCCTCAAGATATCGCATTTTGTCACAAAATCATTACAGAATACATCTGAAATTTCTGGGTTGAACTGTTGTCCTTCACATAGGAAATTGTTCCTCCATATTTGGAAGGAGGTTAGATGAAATATTAACTATTTACTGTATGGAAATAGGACACACATAATATGGCATATATAATTCCCGTCTCTCCGTCTTCTCTCACGCAAAAAAATAAATGAAGGAATGAATAAATAAATAAATAAATGAAGTAAAACTATTCAGGAATTTTAACCACACAGACAAAGAGGTTTGAAAAGATTGTGGTTTGGGAAGAGCATTGGGAACATGCAAGATATGGACAGAGATGGGAAAAGGCTCTTGAAGAAAGAAGAAAATAGAGAGGGGAAAGAAAGAGCAAAGAGATGAAGAGGGACAAGAGGACAAGAAATAGATGGAAAAGGAAATGGACAAGCAGGGGGGAAAGGAAAGAAGGTGGAAAGGGAGGGACAGAAAAGAAGGAAGGGAAAGAAGGAGAGAGTAGCAGAAAGCAGAAGGGAAAGAATGTGATGCAGAGAGATGTAGTACACACGTGAAGGGAGGGAGGTAGGGGTCAGGGAGACGGGACAAGGATTCTTCACAGCTTTAACAGCTGAAAATCTTGTGCAGAAAAAAAAAAAAACATCTTTGAGACAGCTCTTTTAAACAAAAAGACTGACTAAAATGTACTTTCTTTACTAGGAAGTGTCCTGCTCTAGAGTTTAACGATTCACCCTGGATTCAAGAAGAATAGGGTTTGTATTCTTTCAGAATAACCAAGTTTTCTTCAAAGAAAAAAATGTATTTGTCAGTATTAATTTCTATTTCTCAGTAAAATAACCTATACATTCCAAATCTTAACTACGCAATTCAATTTCATGTGCATACATCTTAATTTCCCTTTTCGTACTCTCATATCACTGTACTCTACAGAAACTGCTGCTCTGCTTTGGCTCATAGGTAGCTCAGAATCTGTGAAGCATTCCTCATCATTCCTTGCTAACACTTTCCTAACTCCTAAACTTTTCTAATACATGTTATCTAATTCTTACTTCTCTTTCCAAAGATTGTCAGAACATTTTGGTGAAAAACTAATATTATCACATCTCTTTATCACATGGCCAAAATGAGCCATGAAGGCAGTACAAGTATCTTCCTTTTCTGTGAACTTCTGTATACAGAGTTCAAGCATATGCTCGTTGTTTTTAAATATACGCATGCCTTTACAACTATTCATGTTGTTCTCTCTTACATATCTTTCCTTACTACTCTTTTCCAAGTTCCTTTTTTCTATTATGTTCTTTAGAGTACTGTATTTCCTGTTGAATTTTATCTTCTTCCCATATTTCTGATCTCTGTAGACCTTTTTATTTCCATATTTTCAGCGGGGTACGTATCTCCTAATATATTGTCAACCGAGAACTAGATTAACATGGTTTTGTGTTTCTACTTTCGTATTAATACTGATGGTAAAACAAATCAGACATAAAACAGATCCAGATAGAAGATATAATTCCTTTAGCCCACTGCACATCTATTACACAATATTTTACACAATATTTTATCCAGTTGCCATAGAAAATTTCATAACAAAGCCAACTATTTTTTTAATGACTGTGAAGTAGTATCACATATGTCATTAAAAAACAAATATATTACAATATCTGTATTTTTTAATTATTTTGCATTTCTGCCTGAAAAGAAATTAAGTACTCTGTAAAGATTTTATTTTCCAGAAAACCCATGTTGCTTGATGGCTCTCAAATGCCACTCGATGTTCTTAAAGCCATCCTAGATTACAGAGACATCCTTTCCTCATTTTGAAGTTATCACTTCAGTGACTCTGCAGCCACTACTGACTTACTTTGCTATTCCCATGTCACAAATTCACTTTCTGTTTCCAGTAAGGAAGACAAGTTGCATTGCACCTATTCTACTCATACATAAAGCTAATTTACTTTTCAGGTCTAATCACTACTATATACTTTTTTTCCCCTTTAAGTTTCCAGACCTCCCTTCATGGAATACTTCATAGAAAGACTCTATTATCAGTGTGTTGTTGAATGTTTTAAAACATAGTTTAGTTTAATCACAGGTTTACCACTGGACATTTTCAAAAATGTTATTACCTATGTAAGTGTTTCAAAGCAAGCTTGTGGCTTCTGAACGTTTTTTAAATCTTCTTAGTCAGAGAAAGTTTTGGAGAAATACATTGTTGATGCTAGCTTCTCCATTCATAGAAGAAAAGAAATGCAACTCTGCAACATGGTATTTTCACTTAATTTCTCTTGTTATTTCTTGCCACAATATTACCTTTTGGGGCAATAGCTGATAAAACTTTATCTGAAGATGAAGAAAAACATAGTGCTTACAGAATACTGAACACCACAGCTAAATAAAAACTACAAGACAGATGCAAATTGCAAAACTTTTGTCTGCTGATTACAATGATGTGAAACACAGCAGCTTCCCGCTTTGCCTCTCCATGGTAAGGTGGTTGGAGAAGAGAGCGAAGATGATCTGATTTCAGATCTTCGTGGTGGCATGTAGGCACGCCAAATATCTGTACATACTTCCCAAGGCCTTTAGTTCAAATACAAACACTATAAGAATACACAGAAAGCGCATTTCTCAATCCTGTGGTCTTTCACTCCATCTCTGTACAAGAAAAAATCATATCAGTAGATAGAAAAACCTGTCAGGCTACCTATCCTTAATTTTTCAGTAGCACTCACAGACAGAAACTTTGTATTCCAAGGAACTCATTTTCAGGTCGAGAGGAGGGCCACAAAAATGATCAGAAGGATGGAGCACGTCTCCTATGAGGACAGACTAAGACAGTTGGGGCTGTTCAGCGTGGAGAAGAGAAGGCTCCAGGATGACCTTACAGCAGCTTTCCAGTACCTGAAGGGGGCCTACAAGAACGCTGGAGAGGGATGTTTTACAGAGGCATGTAGTGATAGAATAAGGAGTAAAAACTTTACTTTAGAGCTTTAAACTCAAAGAGCATAGATTTAGACTACATATAAGAAAGAAATTCTTTACTATGAGGGTGGTGAGGCACTGGCACTAGTTGCCTAGATGTCACCTCCCTGGAAGTGTTGAAGGCCAGGTTGTATGGGGCTTTGAGCAATCTGATCTAGTGGAAAGTGTCCCTGCCCACGGCAGGGGGGTTGGAACCAGATGATCTTAAGATCCCTTCCAACCCAACCATTCTATGATTTTATGACTCCCAAAAGAGAATCAGAGTTCCTTCTTAAACAAAGAAAACTGTGAATATGTATTTATTTTATTTTGTTCTGTTTGAGGGAAATCATCCTGAATCACTGAGATGTAAAGAAAATACAAATACACATATCCACAGGTTCACATGTGAGGATAGGGAATGGGATTGGAATCACAACTAAAACTAAATTCAGTATAGATTGAAGACAAAGTATGTTAATGCATGATTCCAGGTCCAGCTGTTCACTCTTCCCAGTCATTTCGAACCTGAGAATGTGGCTAGAAGCACACACTTCAGAGGCCACTAACTGTCAGATGTCAAGATAACAGCTTTTACTAGAAGACTTTGAAACCAGATATCAAGTTGAGAACAGGTATATTGTTTTACATATCACATGAAATATTACAGAAAATTATACTGGTTTTAGCGTGCAGGGTTTTGTTTTGTTTCCCATCACTTTGGAGGTAAACATCTTACACACCTTTTCAAGACCTTCTTCCTTGAGGCTGATAACATCTAAATCAAAATCTGTCCTTAAGCCATTGGTTTTGTTGAAAGTTATCCTGCCTGTGAGGCCTTCCCAGTGGGCCTAAGGAGAAAGAAAAAACAATTTCTATAAATAAATACATCTTCCTTTTTGTGCCCAAACAGAACATATTTTATATCTGCCAAAATGGGAGCATTCATTATTCATTCTATATAAATAATTTACCTGTGGCTTATTTTTTTAAAAAATACTTTGTATTCATTTTTTACTAATTAACCTTTCTTCAGCCTTTACAGACAAATTTTTAAACAACTTTCCATGTTAGCCAATAGGGTCATCTTAATATACGAGATAAAAGGCTGTTTTGTTCTCATTCTTCCATCATTCATTCATCCCCTTCTGCTTCCCTACATGCTCCCCCTCCCCCAATCCTCAATCACTTTCATTCATGCTGGATTTCATTTTTCTGTCAGGAAATTTCATTCAAATCAAGGCTTACTTTTGCAAGATGCTGAGTCCCCTGAAACCACTTTAAAGACAGCAAAAATTGAGGTCAGTGAGTCAGTCTTCCAGAGCTGATTCCTTACTTTTAATAAAGTGCAATAACCTCATTTTTTAATAATTTAAAGTCTACCTAGTCTCAAAACTATCCTTCAGTAGAGGAGGGAATGTGGGGAAAAAAAATTATCATCCTAAAAAGAACCAGCATTAAAAACAGCATTATATTCCATTCCAAATAGTTCTCTTTATCATAGTATTTTGTGTATCTAGAATGAGAAATACTGTATGTCCTGGGTTCAGCCAGGACAGGGTTAATTTTCGCCAGGAGGGGACACAGCCAGGCAGGCTGACCCAAGCTGGTCAAATAGAAGCAGCGTATTCCATACCATGTGCCGGCATGCTGGGTTCTGGTTGGGGGAGCTGGCGGCGGGAAGTCAGTCGTGGCCCAGAAGCGTGCGGCGGCAGCAGGCAGTGAGAGTTGCTCTCTGCGTTTTGCTGTTTGTTTTGTTTTGTGTATTCTACTTATCTATATTGTTGTTGTTACTGTTCCCTTTGTTTGCTGTTCTGATCCTGACCCACCAGTTTTTGCCTGTTTCTTTCCATTCTCCTCCGCACCACAGCGGGGGGAGGGGCGGCCACGTGGTGCTTTTGTTGCCAGCCACAGATAAACTATAATACTGTATTAGGAGTTACTCACAGTACGTGAGACTTGAATACTCTACAGTATTCACTTTCAGCACCTTAAATCTGGTTTTACTTTAAATCAACATCTATCAGTATCTAAACAGCATACTAGGAGACCACGTGTATTAATCCACCATAGGGGAAAAAAAATTAAAGGAAAATTAAAACAAGGGATTAAAATTAATTCTTGGCCCCTATGAACTTCTGTAAATGTTTAGTTGCTGAGCTTTTCATAGTGTATGATTTGGAGCTTCAGGGGTTTGGGGTTTTATGCAACAAATGTTCCAAGCACCCACCCCAATTATATACAAACGAACATTTTATATAGAACACAGTTATTTCACTCATATATATTTCTTTGTTCCAACTAACACCTCAGGAAGATACGCTTTCAAATAAAAATGCTGTCTTGCCTGCTAAACCCTTTACACATCAGCTGAGAGATTCCTATCTACTGAAAAAAGTATGAAGGATTCAAGTAGAGTGGGAACAAAAGAAAATGGGAGTTCGGAGAAAGGAATAAAGCAGGATTTGTGACTTACCTCCTTAATGAGACTCATGAAGCGGGTGCCAAAGCGCCAGGGTTTGTGGCGATTACACTGCAGCGAACTGACGGTCATCTGTGGGAACTGCTGGACAGCCACTGACACGACATGAACTGCATCATACATTAGTGCTGCGTCCGTCTGAAATTAGAATGAAACCAGAACCATGAACATGAACAAACATGTGTGACAGCTCAGCAGCGACAGAAGGAAACGAAAAATTAGGATAGCTTAATATGTTACAAGGAGAAAATTATCTGATTGCTTGTGTAGCACAGTAAAATGCAGCCTTATTGTGAAGTCCTAGATGAGATGTGTCAGGACCTTCAGTCTCAGCTTCTCTCTTTTTAATGCCGAAATACCAACTTTTCAGGATCAAAGGAGAACACTGGTATCTCTGATGACTCATTTTACTCTAAAAAAGCTGTAGATTAGGGGGCTATATAAATCACTGTATCCATGTTTGACTCAAGCCAGTTATTTGCATGAGTGAGGCAAAAGAAAAAAAAAAGATCAGCAAGGTAGCAAAACCTTATATGTGAAGGAAACTGCACACGCAAAGGAAATGTTTTTCTGTTTTGAAACTGCAGACTAGATACAAAGGTACTCAACTGATTCTTTCATAACTTTTTTGGGTACTAGTTTAAATCCCTATGACAGATCTAATCAGTATCTTCTATAAATCAGAGGCAAATTAGAATTGCATCAAAATACACATTCATTTTAACGGTTTTGATGTCCCAGCCTTAATAAATAGCCTGTTTAGACCAGGTATGGGCTAACTAATGTATCAGCAAAGGACAGAGACAGCCTCTCAGTACACCCTGTCATGCTGTACAAGAAACTGACATCTCTCTCCTGTTCTATTTGACAAACAGAGGCAAGCCTTGGAACCAAAAGCAAGAGAGGACCTTAGATTCAGCTGGTAGAAATGAATGCTATGCCATCTGCTTAGTATACCTTGGAGAAAAAAGACCTGTTTCCCCTTCTCATTCACATAATTAGTGAGCTGTGAAATTAGTTCTTTAATGGATAGGAAACCTGGATATTATTGCACTTGTCACAATACAATACAATGCAATACAAAATGAGCTTATATAGTGCCTTTCATGCAAATGCATCCCAAGGCTCTTTACAATAAAACTAAACATAAAAATGCAAAAATGCTCTACCATTACAGCCCATAAGCTACTGTTAAAGGGGAAAATATACCTTTACATTTAAATTGCTCTCCCAAGGAGAGGTTTCAAAATTCAGACAGAAATAAATCCTGATTCTAAAATAACCAGTATAATGGGTTTCAATGATCTCAAACGCCAAGAAGCTTATGCAGGGGCTCCAAATCAGTCAGAAAATATTTTTGCTGCCAAATTGTTCATTATCTTCAAGGCATTAAAGTGCTTTTAAGGCAAGCTGATATTTGACAAGGAGGCAGTGAAACACTGAAAAGCTGGAATGACATGCTGAGTAAGTGTCATACAATGCTTAATATTCTAGAAGCAGTACTTGGCAGAAGTTGGAGTCTAGACAACATTTTTTAAAATGAACTATATAATAAGCACAACAAATTAATCTGGCTCAGAAATGCAAAACTTTTTTTTTAATCAGCTTTTCTTCTAAAACTGTAGTCCTTGCACCAAAGAAAGAAAATAGAAATTGCTGTGAGACTTTAGCAAAAGCAGCCCATTAAAAAGCAACCAGAAGCTCAAAAACAGCATTAACTGATTAATTAGATATAAATTTGGACACTGAACTGGTAAGAATCATCAGCAGAAATCAAATGGGACATTATGCCTGAGCAACATGGCTTTTTGTCAAATCCTATAAGCCGCTGAGCTGCAAATTCGTAGGATGACAAGACAGTCAACTCCAGAGGAAGCATTAAAAAAGCCATTGCAGTTTTAGAAGTAATTCGAATTCTGATAACATTCTTCATATTTGGCTAATTTATGTTACTTCAATGGAAATAAATCTAAATCAGAATGTATTTCTTTTAAATGCACACAACATAAACTAATCACTGGCTAGAAGTTGAGTTCCCTATTTGATATTTAGATGCTACAAGATAAATCGCTTATTTACTTAGGATGAGATTCCACAATCCACTTTAAATGTAGGCTTAAATGTTTGTACTGAACAAAAACAGACAGAACCATACACTCAAACATGTATTGTTTTAGTGATTCAATATTGAACTCATCTCATTGGGTACCATCGTTGATTTTACTCCATGAGAAAAAAAATAATACAGGAAAAGATATAAAGTATATACTTCAATTTGTAGGTTGGGCTCTCCTCTTGGTCACTCACTTTACATTTCCTCTGAGAGACAATAAGAATTGATAGCTCTTGGCCTAGCTCTCCACCATTATTCATTAGGCTTGCTAAGCTTTATGTCTCATTGCCTTTTGTCCATACTGCTTTCTCTTCCTTAAATCACACATTTGGAACTATGGTTTGTGGTACAGGAAGTACTGCATGTTTCAGCAAGAGACTGTTTAGGGACCAGGAAGAAAATGTGCCGAAATAAATTTGCAGGATTCTTTATTTCACCTAAGCAGAGATAAGCAGCCTGGAAGGAAGCAGAAGTGAAAAACACAGGAGAAGAAATGGTTCTTGAACTTCACATTGAAACCTGCTACAATGTTTCCATGCACTGAAGCACACCTAATACAAGAAAACACTCTCACTGAAAAACGAGATTAGTACTGTTTTACTCAACTTGCATAAATCTTTGAAGAATTACATTTTATTTCACAAATATATCTGGGTACAGTTTCTAAATTGTTGTGGGCTTTTTTGGTTTTGCAGTCCTACTTAGTATTTATGATGACCGGCTTGGATACAGATGAACTCCTCTAAAATACTGCTTATCATACTGTTATTTGCATTTATACAACTACAAGAAAAAAATACTACTACAGAAGCTACAAAAATTTATCATCAGATTGAAATAGAATGAGATTGAGTTAGGTGACTAAGATGTCAAGTGGCAGATGTCTGTGACCACAAGTTTGGTTTTCGGTTGACTGTCAAGTAACAGGAAAGTTTTTAGCCCTCAGAGGTAACAGTTTAATCAGAGATGTGATTTCAGTCACAATATATCTCAAATACAGAGAAAGTACCAATCTGTGTTTGATTTTTATCCCAAACTCAGTAGGATACTACACATTTCTTCTCAACACCTTTCTGTCATTGCTTTACCTCCTGGCCTTACTGTGGGTGTTGTGTTTGCCTCTACTTCTTAGATGTGTTTCTGTATAATCAATTTTGCGTCTTCCTAAATTACTTGCTAAATACTGCCTAACAAATTGCATGCAAGTACTCTAATCTTACTGTGAAATGGCTCTGGTGGAGCTAGACTCAGCATAAAGAACGTAGAAAAAAGAGTCCTCTCTATTATTAGAGAAAGAGTCTATTCTTTCTCCCCAGGCCTCCTCAGAGTAGAGTCTTTTTCTTCTCTGTCCCCAACCGCACCCAAAGATGGCAAAGGCATGTGACAAGCTCTAGTAGATACATGCTGTGATTTTTGTCACATGCTTACTTGTCCTGGTTAATCAGTATTGTAGGGAGGGTTTGAGTTTTAGGGACTTGGAGCTAGGGCAGGAGGTAGTCAGAGTAGTGCTTTTTACTGGTTTCTAACCTATACTGGCATAGCTGACACACAAGAAACCCACTATAGCCTGGGTCTCAGTTAAGCAGAAATCTTCCCCACAAAATGGAAACTGACAAACCACTTCTCTGCCAGGTTTTTCTGCTCTTCTTGTGACATACAGAAGGTATGATTTTTAATGATTCTTAATGCAGATACACCAGAAGGCTGTGCTGCCATTCAGCGTGACCTGGACAGGCTGGAAAGTTGGGCAGAGAGGAACCTGATGAGGTTCAACAAGGTCAAATGCAGGGTCCTGCACCTGGGGAGGAACAACCCCATGCACCAGTACAGGCTTGGGGCGGACCAGCTGGAGAGCAGCTCTGTGGAGAGGGACCTGGGTGTCCTGGTGGACGACAGGTTAACCATGAGCCAGCAGTGTGCCCTGGCTGCCAAGAAAGCCAATGGGATCCTGGGGTGCATCAAGAAGAGTGTGGCCAGCAGGATGAGGGAGTTCTCCTTCCCCTCTACACTGAGGAGAGGCTGAGGGAGCTGGGCTTGTTCAGCCTGGAGAAGGCTGAGAGGGGACCTAATATATACTTACAAATATCTGAAGGGTGGGTGTCAGGAGGATGGGGCCAAACTCTTTTCAGTGGTGCCCAGAGACAGGACAAGGGGCAATGGGCACAAACTGAAGCACAGGAAGTTCCGTCTGAACATGAGGAAGAATTTCTTCCCTCTGAGGGTGACGGAGCACTGGAACAGGCTGCCCAGGGAGGCTGTGGAGTCTCCTTCTCTGGAGACATTCAAGACCTGCCTGGACGCGGTCCTGTGCAGCCTACTGTAGGTGACCCTGCTTCGGCGGAAGGGTTGGACTGGATGACCCACAGAGGTCCCTTCCAACCCCTACCATTCTGTGATTCTGTGATTCTGTGATGACTGGTAGGTTAGACAAGAATCAGCTGGAAACCCTGAAACCAAATAGTCTGTTTACGCACTACTGCCGCAACCTGAGATCTAGGTCTGTATCTTAAGACCTTCCAAAACAGTGAGAAGAGGGGCTCACACTGACATGCGGATAAAATCCAAGCAAGCCTTACAGAACAGAGGAATCAAGGTCTTCCTAACCGTCTTCAGACTCTATAGTATATAACCGTTTAATGATGTCATTTGATATCTGACAACAAATGTGCTAACTCTTTTGGAATACATATATCTAATTAACTATTAAGGGTTAAAAAAACTGCAGATTCCACAACTTAATGACATTGAATCATGACTTGTGTGTGCACCTTATTTGCACAGAAATGTTTTTGTGTGACATTTCTATTCACCTCCATCAAACTATGTGAGGATTTCATGTACCAATAAACCATTCCTCTCTTGTTCATATCTCAGTGCTCCAGAATTATCTCTAAATTGCAAAAATATTGCTTTACTTTTAGTAAACATGATTTTTATCACACAAAAAAAATTTACATTAATTTAAGATGAAGGATTGCTAGGCTAATTCTGTTTCTTCATAAGCTATATCAGAAATAGTACACTT